CTATGCCAAGCGTTCGGCCAGCTGTAGTCAATACCTCTTCAACAACTGGCTCTGCCGCTGCAGAAGAAGCACCTCCCGCCGAAGCACTTACTAATGCGGCATCAACTACTGCACCTCCAAGTCGTCTTTCAAGCCCCAAGCCTGATAGTCTAGTGGGATGTCCTTTGTCACTGATGGCGCATGCCGTGGATATGGACCAAGGTAGACCAGCTTCGCCCACTACCGCCGCTGATTTACTACCATTACGCGAATTTGAGGATATTGCACCGCCATCCGACCTTCCATCTCCACCATCCGAATCATCCCAAGCTATCTTGTCCCCCACCACAGCACGTATCTCGACACCTTCCCTCACCGCCACACCAAATGCATCGTTGCAAAACTTGCGATGGTCAAGTAGCGCAGGTGACGATCCGGCAAATTTATTTACCCCAAGTCCGCCTACCAGGAAGCTTCCGCAACTCCGAGTCAAAGACTTATTTGACCGAGAAATTGACGAAGCCACGGAGCCGGAAGTCAATCAAGAGCCTATTCCACAGCCAGTACTCAAACGATCCCGAGGTGAGCGATTTTTATAATCAGTACAAATAAGGAAGACTAAACTATAGTATAGGGGAGTCGGATAATGAAGCCGAGATAGAACCAAGCCTTGACGACGAGAACGAAGACCACGAGAAATCTCCAAACACCTTGGGCTCACAGCGAGCACTGAAAAGATTCAAAGGTAAGAAAATACCGTGCTACCGACAATGTGTTGCTAATTTATTATATCTGAATAGCAGTGATCTCATTCAGCGACGATGAACTCGATGAACTCGAAGATCAACCCCCTCGACTCATAAGGTTGTTTAAGAAGCGCATGCGTGCTATTCTTTCTGATGATGAAGGTACGCCTTGTCTGCAACGTTATGTGGTAAAGACGGCTGATAGTATGGCAGACGCAAGTCCTCCACCGGCCAAGAAAAGTCGAAAGCCGAGTCCTCGTGGCACGAACAGTGAGGGTAAGTCATTCATTTAACAATGTTACAAGTGTTTAGCCTCATCTGCCGATGTTCAAGGGACCAAGAAGACAGCAAAAGGCCGTCGTAATGCCTCAAAGAAGAAAGCTAGCACGACTCGACGCAAGGGCGCCACACGTAAGTCTGCACAGCCTGCGGAAACAGGTGTCGATGAGCAATCTACGGCAAACAAAGGTACCAAGATCATTGTGCAGTATTTTTACTGGTACTCATGTTGCTCTCTTTTTACAGCGCCCAGGAAGAGAAGGAATCTTGGACAAGCTAAGGTTGACATGGTCCTTGAGGATCCAGACGACAGTCCAGTCCTCGATGGCGACAGTAAACTCAGTAAGTATTTTAATTGCTTTGCCGCAAACTATATTTTACTAACCTGATTCGTTCCTTTTGCAGAAGGTATTCGGCGGTGGTACACGAACTCTATCATCGGAGAAGGCCCATCTGCCATCCAAGAGCCCAAGAAGCAGCTTGGACTACGTTCTCACCTCTATGAAGCCGCCTCTACCTCTCCCGAGCTGGCAACCACTTCTCGTGAAATCGCCCTGACGTCCATGATCTCCACCCGGAACAACCTCATTTGTCGATATCACAGTATCACCGAAAAGTCTACCGCCCGTGCTGTGCAGGTAGATGGAGATGACGACACTCTTTTTGGCCGGCCATGGCCACCACTGCACAAGGCAGTGAAGGCAAAGCTATTGGAAGAACAGCAGAAAGCCGCCAAGCAGGCAGCACAGAATGGCGTATTCGAACTTCCCAAGGAGTGGCAGGTGCCGGGATGGAATAAAGTTCATTCTCGTCATCCTCTAGCAGCGGATTGCGGGTGCAACATCAATGACATGCTTCTGGAGATGTACCTGTGGAAAACAGGTGAACTGTCGTCGATCACTGCCAGCGTGACCGACGACTGGCGCGGTGATTTTCTGACCCCACGACAGCGAGCGCTAGTTTGTTCCCAGCATCGATATTGGTCGTTGCTCGACGTCGACGACATGTATTCCATGGCTTCAGAAGATGGCAAGTGGGTTCGTCGGGATGAGGGTTATGCTCGTCGCGTGCAAGCCGCTCGCGCTCAGGAGAAGGCCAACGCAAAGGCACAGGAAGCTGTAGATAATGTTGCCACTGATGAGGCCGCCTATGTGGCTGGTATGGCTCTGTTTGATAATGCTAACTTGGTAAAAATTGCTCCTGACGCAGATGTATAAATATAGGATAGTTTTTCATATTTGAACGATGTATATAACATACGCGGTGTTCAACCACCAGCTAAATACTAGCCTTCGAGACACGTTCAACACGTGTCTCTACCGTTGTAATATTGACCACAGTTCTTGAAAACCGCTGCGTTTTTGTATTTAAGCAACGAGAGAACGAGAAAAAAAGTCACAAACCACCCCAACTCATGCCACCAGTCAGAAAAGGATCACTGCTTAAGGCACCGAATACAGACGAGGTCATTCGCTGCACCAATGGGCATGTCAAATTTTTGAGTGAACATCCAGCAGTGGTGCGTCTCAGTTCAGTCGTCGAAATACTATGTCTGACTCTTGCTCTCTATAGCCTTGGCCAGCTTCTGTCAAAGGAGTATTCATTGGTTGTGGGAGCCGTGCTGTGCATTGCGTGCAAGTGCCTTTATTCGACACAGAAGACCCACCATACGTAGCCCATGTCGACGACGTAGTGACATTCTATTGGTTCCCACCTTTCAAAGGTGTCTTACCCTTGATGTTCGATATCTTAGAAGCAAAAGAGGCCGTAGAACGGGACATACAATACCGAGTATATGTCTATCCTCAGTCCTGCGACCTTCTTCATCACAACCGGGATCGTAATCGTTTCTGGTACCTGTTCTCGCATGGATTACAGGTGGTCCTGGGCCCAATACTCGTCATCAAGTTCACTCCATCAACCATGACACCCCAGCCTCTTCACAAGCCAGAAGTGAAGGACACACTAAAAGCAGTCTTTTCGTCAACGTACGTATGTTCCATCTGACTTTGACGTCTTCTGTCTGATTGGTGTCACAGGCGAATCTTTTTCGATGGAGAAATTCCGGACTCGCTTGCAATAGGAGTTGCGGACGTGTGAAAGTTCTGTATGTTGAATACATGAATCCCTTTCGGGATATATTATCTACATGTGGCCGCTTAGAATACATTCAAATGTATTCAAACGTAGTTCATATCAGTAAGTTCGTATCAGTACAACAGTTGGCCAAAATCAAGCGACGGCTAAGCAAAATTCACGTCTATCAGTCATCTTCTGCCGTGACATCTCTAAAGGAGGTAGATTAGCGACAGCAAAGGCAAAATGCGAAAAAAAAACTTACGGTTGCGGGGTTGCAGTGTCCCGACAGTAACAAGAAGGGTTCCGAGAGCACCTACATGTGTAGGCAATGCCAATACTAGCATCAGATAAGGAGCTATCGCTCTCATAAGGCGTGTATGTTATCAAAGGTGACTAGATTGGAATGGCGCCGAATGACACACTGTGGGAAAGGAGACTGGAGTTCATTAATTTCGGGCGGTGCATCGAGGGCGATAACATGGAGAAGAGATGGGTGTCGAGCCAGGAACGTGTTCATTGCCGAGAGATAGTCGGGAGATATTTGGTATTCACGAGGGAAAGGATATCGATATTGTAATGACCAGCTGAGGAGATTTGGAGCTGTAATCGAGGTGAAGAAATCGATACCAGCCGCTGCCCTGTTGTCGTCGTCCTCCACGGCCAACGTCTGAAGCCCTGATAATTCAATTACCGTAGTCATGGCCAAGGGCCAAAAGTGGATTGGGTTCCTCTTCCGAAGGCCGCTCAATACGGCATCAAGGCCGGCAATCAGCGTCACTGTGACATTTGCCACGAATGGGGCGGCACGGAGGATACACAAGGCAACGCGGCTGGTGCCCTTGATATGAATGTAACTGATCGTGCGAGGCAGCTGTAACGAGTGATTAAGGTTTGGCCTCTCCCACGAATCGTCTGTAACGGTAATTGAAAGGTTTTGAAGAGGGATAGTCGAGCGAGTAAGGATGCGGAGAAAGCTTTCAAGAGATGGAAGGCGGGTTACTTGAAGAGATGTCAGAGACAAGGAAATTGGGTTAGGGAGATGGGGTAGGACGTCAACATCCTCTAGAATCGACGCAACGAGGTACGATGCACCTTCCAGCGCAAAACTTCTCCAATGACTCGTTTTAAGATGGTCCATCGACATGCAAGGAGACGTCGCAACAACGGCCGGCATTGTCACAAAGTTAAAATCGCCTTTGTCAACAAATTCGACAGTGACATCGAGGGGGAGCGACTGGGCAAGACTCTGGATACGCGCGATACGATGATGTGCGATGGGATGATGCGGAAGGCATCTGGCCTGTCGGCGAAGGCGTACGGTAGAGAATAGGCTAGGATTGGATAGAACAATGGCATGGAATTTACGCGAGACTCGGGCGAATACTCTGAGCTGGGGACAAGAAATGGTAGGGCGAGTGTGGCGGTGACTCCTGGGGTAGTCGTTGAGAATGATTTCGGGGGCCGCAAGCTTAAAGATGTAGACAAGAATTTCATCGGGGACTCCATCGATCGGGTTCAACATCCTGTTCAACTGCTCGAGGTAGTCACGGAGGATATTGCGAAGTGGCCTGTACTCGGATGCCTTCAAGTCGCGGTAACGATTGGCGTGTTTCAGCCAGAAGATGGCGGTGACCGTTTTTTGACGCTTTTGTCGAAGGAAGAGCTTTGCAATGGGCCACGGTGTGTCTGGGCTATGAGGAGATCAGAAGGATTCTCGCAAACACGGGCAGAACTGAGTGAATTACCTAGGAAACTCCGGCAAGAACTCAATGAAGTGGATAAGGAAGTTGGTACTAGGAGGGTCGTTCATGGTGGTTCTGAGTCAAGAGCTGGAAGGATTTAATGTAGAATTATCGTTTTAATACTTGTAAAAAAAAACCTCTTGTGGAGTCACATCGGAGTCTGCGTCAAAAAAATGCGCACGTAGTGTAGTGGACATGACGTTCGTTTGACAGTTGAGCTCTAACGATGTGATTGTGGGTTCGAATCCCACCGTGCACATGGCACTCCGCTGCACAGAGTGTCCGAAACTCCTTTGGAGGAATACGACACTCTGTGCTAGCGGGGGCCTTTTTACAACACATCTGGAGGGTCAAGAAGGCCCTTTATTTAGAGCTAATGAGCGGGGTGAATATCAAGAAAGTCACAATGAGCGAGTGTGTGAATGAGATATGACGGAAAGGGTAGTTCCCCGGAACTGTGGGGCAAGCGCCGGTACTTCAAACAACAACGACTTGCCAGTAATCGGAGCATTGAAGGGCAAGTATCAAAGAAGAGTTTCATTAATGCCCACGGAGTCGCGGGGGAACACCGTGTCAACCAAGACAGTTAGATGCGAGGAGCTGCGAGATGAATAGCTCAAGTGCGAGTTCACGTGACCGTTTTCGTCTTGTACTTTTGTCTTGCTGCATTCCTACTTGAAGTGCGTGTGAGTAGCATACTACAGTATTGGATTCTTAAACTAAATACTCAACATGATGAATTCTTTGATCAAGGAGAAAAGGATACAATAATGCACAAGACCCAACGACAAACACCAGGGAAATGCAGTTGTGAAGGGAAGCTCTTCTCATGGTCAACGACTCTATCCACGGACTTCAAAACGGCAACCGGAATACAAAGCCAGCCAACGTCAAGTGTTCATTCGCCTAAATTGTGGAATGGTTCAGATGAACCGTCGTCGAAATCGTCGAAGGTAGCAGTTCTCCCAAACTGTTCTATGTCGCCCGCGATACATTCTTCAAAGGCGTTTCTGGTGAGAGGCAAAGACGAAAAGGTAAGAAACTGAAGACATACGGCGTGCATCTTGCTGTTCGGAAGCATCAGTTCAGAGAAACTGTCGTGACACCGTTCGAGCTGCGAAGGTTCACAGAAACCATCCCGTGAAAGCGGTATTGGCGTCGGCTTTTGAACGTTCTGGGGTGGTTAAAGGTTGATATTGGATAGTATATGATATAGCGGCAGGTTTTCCGAGGTGTAGGTATGGCATGTAGGATATAGTTCATGGGAACCGTCGGCGTCGTCCTGAGTGTGGTACGGTACATGGGAACTGTTGGCGTGATGTTAGGCGAGGTACAGTTCATTGAAACTGTACAATGCCTCTACGTCTATTCATGAGAGATCGCTATAGATAGGTCTGGAAATGGTGTAGAATGCGTCGAGAATGCAGATTGAGGAACAGTGTGTGTGAACTGTCGTTTGGCTGGAACCTGGATGACGGCTCCTAGAAACTGTGATGACTGTCGTTCTCGAAGTTCGGGGTATGGAAGCTTTGATATCTACGAACAGTAAGAAATTAAAAAAACTGAGTATCAAGGAAGAGATTGCCTTGAGAATGTCGATAGTCCATATGAACCATCACTTGGATGGTTGGTATGTCACAGTTCAGATGAACAATGAGCCAATTTCTCCGGGAAGGCGATACCCTTGCAAAATGGCGATTTCTTGGACCTGAAAGTGGCTTCTTGCAGGGGGTTGACAATGCTTTCAGAGGTGGTCGTTGACAGTGCACATGCACCGTCGGCCCAACCTCACCGGTCCGACAGTTCTCCTGCACCGACGTAGATATATACCTAGTTTACCGAATATCATTGATTGAATGAGGATTCAATGAGACCAAAACATTTCTGGCTATGCTACGCACCTGTCCTCAAAGCTTAGAATGTCGTGACCCCCACATTAGCCCATGGTTCACCGAAATCGTTGAGGAGAAGAGATGGCAGTGCAGAGGAACCGTGCGAATGTTGACGCATAAGGCATTCACGATTCCCATAGTTTTTTTTTTTTTGGATACTAGTTTGGCAATTTATTATATCTTTTTGTTGTTTGACATCTAACTACTTAGGACCTGAACGTTTTCTCACTGAGTGTGGGCGGGCGCACATCTCTCGGCTGTCGCAGCTCACATGTATTTGTGGGAAAGCAGTTTGACGTCTATCCGAAAAACGAGTATGATTTTGAGCTAGTGCTTACCAAGCGTTTTAGGATTTTTCCGGATTTTATTGCAATAAATATTTGGTGGTGCAAGAATGTATTCGGCAGATGGACTTAAAGGCAGTAAGGAATCTATATCGACACCTCATTTGTTATGTTCAGCGTTCGTCATCCTAAGTACTTTTGCTACCAGCAGCTGTATGAGGACGTTGGACATTATGAGGGTCCCAGAACTGTGATTTGTATACAAAATCCCTGCAGCCAAGACGATACATATGTTCCAGCGCATATGTTTTACTCTCGGTTCCACTTGTCGGCCAACTTCGTTCACATCTGATGGCTTCTAATTAGCCGGGATTTGAAAGGTGCCTCGAGACTGAGGTCTGTTTTTATTCATTTGCTACTACATAACACCTATTAGCAATGTTATTTATCATATGAGAAAGGGTGGTTAAGAAAGCCCTTTTACTTTTACACTCGGCGGGGACACCGGTCATCAATTCATGGATGTCGCGAAGGAAGGGAACCGGGTAACAATGTATGGCTGAGGACGCAACAGCAGAGGACGCAATGAGGTGGGTTCTATGTAAGTTTTGCTGAGCCTTTCTCGCAATAGGTAGAGTCAGTATTTTGTTCTTCATATATTGTAAATCATGATTTGTAGCCCCTATAACAGTTGTTCTGTCTGATATCTATCTCTCCGAATTTTTTTGACAATTTTTAATCATTTTTAAGGGGGAGGGACAGTACACAACATAGGGAAGGCGGGGAATGACATAAACTCGACATACGGAGGGCGCGGAAAGGGCGCGGAAGACATTTGATGGCGGGAAGCAAGGCCGGACATAAGCGTAAACATACTAGTGCTGGTTTGATGGCTCGGTGACGGCGGTACGTCATGTGAGAAGTCTCCGTGATGGGAGAACATACGTCTGATGTCCGAGGGACCTGCCTAAACTTGGTCCAAACTCCCTGGTAAGTTGACTTTAACGAACTGAGGATCCTAGGGAAGAAAAGGGCCTGTAGAGACGCCATTACCCGATCGGGATAAGGCCTCTGATGGTGCCATCAATTGGTCATATCAGGTGCACCTGGGACATAAAACATTAGTTATAGCCAATCACCCAGGCTTAAACGATGCGCATCACGGTAAGCACGCACCCCAGGATTGCAATCCCTGAATTATGATTTCTCGTTTTGACTTCCTTAAGGTCCTGTGAGATACCACGGCATAAAGCGTTTGGGATCCGCAAGTGTTCCGTTCAACTCCGATACCTCTACTAGCTTTCAGCGCATTGCCATTCGAGTATGATTTCGGGTACTCCTTTGATAGTGATGGTGGCGCATACACATGTCGTTCGGAAGAGTCGAAGACCGCTAGTCCATGTATACTGTATTCCCTTTTGCGAGTGCACGTTGAGGGCCATTGGCCATATTGACATCGGTCGCTGCCGTCTGGAGATGACATCTTTCTGGCATGCTTTGACCCCAATCACCTACGCACTCCTCCTGTTCTTACCCTGCCTAACCTGTCATCTAGCATTGTCACCTTCGCTCATCCCAAGGGGATGAGAGTAATGTTGCTGGTGGAATGTTTCATAATGGATCATCACTCCTCCCCTTCTGGAAAACTGTTGAATGAGGATCAATACACGGAAATAGGCGCCAGAAGGCGACGTACGCTCGTAAGGGCGCCCGTTTAGCTCTCTGCCAGATGACTCGAAATGCATTCATCCTTTCCACCAATCGTATCGATGCGCATCCCTTGGCACCCTTCCTACATAAGTCTCCTTTGCATGTTGAGCCAAATGCGCTGTTCGGCAATTTCAACATCATATGCTGGCCGTCACCAGAAAGCTGTATGGATGCAGAAAGAGATGCGAAGAAAGCGTATCAGTAGCATGAAGTAGAGGGTCTACTCGGTGGTGCAATCATGGTTACATTGTGCGTCGTTCATACTTAATAATTTTGATCCTTGTTATCATATACGCCGGGAAATACGATAAATGAAATTTCTCGAATGTAGATTGCAACTAATGAAGGCGAGATGAAGAGCGATGGCTCCGAGATGAAAGATACCGTTCATCAAATGCCTCGGGAATTTGAATTCGATCGCAGTCCTCGAGCATCTGTAGGTCCAAGTAGTGGGCGCGTATTAATGGATTTAGAAGTAACACGAAAGTCCGGTATGAAGTCATTACACCTTTGGGTGGAAGCCGGTCCCGGAAAACGAGGATTGTTAGCTGCACTAGGCCATCGCTATTGCCGACATAGTTTCCGTGGTCATTAGTGATCGGAAGCTCTGAAGATTAGGATGTAAGATGAGTAGAGCCAAAGTGCGAGACACAGAAGCGTAACATAACATACCCGCCGAGCTTTCCATTGGATACCGTCGCAAACCCATTGATTCCGTTCGTTAGGTCGGTACGAGTTCCGTTGCTACTGGAAGATTCCCGCCCTCCCCGCTCTGTGCTTTGTTTATGACGCATTCAATCAAAGGGGATTGGGTGCACCATCAGAATGAAAACGGCTAGTCCCAAGTCTTGTTCACCAACGAGAACGCGACTGCCTGACAGGGTGCAGCTGAAAGAATGGCGGATAGGAATTTTCGAGAATTTCGCGGAATTCTTGACGATCTAGGCTAGTGCCTCGAGGCTCGTCAAATGAGAACAGCAATGAGGAAAGGCGCAGATGATCATGGAGGATGGTAACCCTGGTCAAGGTATGCCGTCACTCTGGTGGTCCGTGCGCTACTGGAGCGTGAGTGGTGGGAACCTGAAATATTTCGTGCTCAGCTTCTTTCCTTCCTGCTCCCATCATCTACAACGTGTATTCTCGAGCCCTGTGGAAAAAATGGACAGTCTTGCACCGAAAAGTGATGTTCGTGTTCGTGGTTCAAGTCATATTGACTTCAAGACAGCGACCACCGGTGTCGCTGCCAAAGCAATGCGAAACGAGATAAGTCGCCTTGTCGCAACAGTAGAAGACCCAGCTACTAAAAAGGTTTGCCTGGTGTACCGATTTCTGACGATATGGTGCTGAGAGGCTGCTCAGGCCTTTGATACGGA